AGTGTAAAAGAGCAATGAAGAAAAAAAAAATAGAGAAAATGTAATCGAATCTTACACGTTTAAAACACAGAAAGAGAGAGAGAGAGATTCAACGAGTATTTTCGAATCGAAGACACTAGGAGGATTTCAAAGGCTGTCTCGAAATGAAATTCCACAGGAGGGTTGGTTTCTTCGACTAATTTATCTATTATTGCGTTGGTCGGTGTCTCGGTCAAGCTCGATCGCTTGACAAACGCGCGCTTTTAGCGAAATTTCTTCGCCGACAAACTGGTCCCTGGCAATTGTACAGAGTGTTAGAGCTCCTGTGAACGAGAAACATCCGAGTTATGTCACGTAAACGACTGTGTCGTCTGGCTACGAAGAGAGAACACTTTTCCTGGATAGTTTCGGTAATAATTCCAGGTGAATTGGAATTCTTCGAGAGCAGCGGGAAGTGTTTTTAAAACGTTATTTATTGTACGTGTGGCGAGAAGGTTTGTTCGATTCGTTTAAGTTTCCTCGTGGAGAAAATAGATCGGTGGTTGTTTGAAATTGGCCCAAAACCGTAAATAGGTTACGTCTCGTAGCGTGGACATCGTTGTCACTAAAGCCCGCGAACATTCAAATTGACGTCGTACGGCTTTCTGTATCCTGCGGCGGACATCCGCATTGACAACGCGCCGCTAATTAACCCTTCCTTGTAATCATTACAACCACCGGTTCCTGTTTTCGAATATATTCAATCGTGAACGACGATCGCGCCTCTCCTGTTTTGCCTTTGACGCGATTCGGTGCAAATATATGGCGAAGTAACCGTCTTTGCGCAAATTTTGTGTACAATCAGGCACGAATACGCTAATTTTCTGTCGTACGTGAAGAAATCATTCGCAAAATCGAGAATATCTAAAATAGAATTTGTGTCTGCCTGTCTGCATGTTCCCTGTTATTTCCTAAACCATTTGACCGATTTCGAACAAATTTTGCATAGTTACTACTTACAGTACTATGCAAAATATAAGCTACCGTGAAACTTAGACACCTTGTCTATCTACCCCTAGCACTTAAAATATTGTATATCGCGAAGCATTAGAACAACAGAGATTTCGGCGGCGAAGTGGTGGCCTGGACTTTGTCACCCAGGAAGAGAAAGAGTCCTATAAACTAAGCCCTTTCCCCGGAAAGTCGAACGAGGGGGCTCCAACGGGATACGACGCGGAGAGGACACTCTGGAAATAGCCGTCGAGCGAGACACCGAAGCACTTAGCAGTCGCTTATCACTATACTTTAATACATTTTTGGTTAATATCCTACTCTGTGTTAAATTCACTTAAGTTGTGCTGACATAAAGAAACCTCTTTATAAATCAACGAAAAATCTCAAGTTTCTCAATTATGCAGTCTACGAAGCTCCCTAAAAACAGTCATCTAAAATGATCGCCTCTGAAAGTGTGTGCAACCAGCAATACCAAAAACTGAAATCGAATTCTCGTCGTCTCGTTTTTTCCCCCGGTTCTACGAAACCGCCATCGCAGCCTGGCTGTCGCCTTAATCACCGATCAATGACACGACTCGTTTAACCGGTGCGCGACGAGATCCAGCGTGGAAATAAAACGCGTCGCGGTTCGAAACGCGATCATAAGGGATTAAACCGGCGCTTAATTGCTCGTGAAATGACACCGCCAGCCGAAACAACGCTGCGTGCACCGTGCATCGAATAAAAACCTCCACCGATTCTCCAGGCGGAGCTGATTAACCACGAACCGAGCGCGCGAGCACACGCCAGCGTTGTTCCGCAAATGAACGTCGCCGCTTCAAAGGCGGCCTCTGCGATCGTGCTGGCTGGCTCGCGCGACTGAAGAGGGAGATCGCGAAGCTGGTAACGAGCAGGAACGTGTAAAGTACTACGTGTTCCAGCGACGTGTCGCGACTTCACGGTGTCGCGCGCGCGCCTTTTTCCGAGTCGAGAGAAAACAGCTGGCTTTCTGTCAACGGGTACGAAGATCAATGGTATTGTCAATATTGCAGTAGCGTAGGTTTGTTTGCATTTTTTTTCTCTTGTGTTGTTTTAAGAGACGCGAGAAGAGGGTTGTGAAAGAGAAAGTGAGGGTTGATGGGGACTGAAGACAAGTCTACCGATGCTTTAACCATGGTTTGGGAGAAAAAGGAAAAAGATGTTTGAACGCTAATAAAGGAACCATTAAACACGGCGCAGGCAAAAATATTCGTAATATTTTAAATAATATCTTCATATTTTTAATATTTCAATATTCCAATATTTTAAATAAGTTCTTTGTCAGTGTCCGAATATTTTTGGAGTTTTATCAATTTTCAAGTTAAAATAAAGTAATATGAAAATTTTAACAGAGAATAAGTTATTGTACGAAAAAAATAGTTTGGTAGATGTTAGTTCCACAAATGGTCCCAAAAAGTGTTGAAGCGGCTTTTGTAGATAGCGCTGGCTGGTAGAAGGGAATTTAATGGGAATTTTGAGGAACAATGGGGAAAGACTGTGTGATTAAGACTGTCTATGAATTTACCGCTGTGGATTTTGAGGAAGTTAATGATGTTAGAGGAACTTGATTACTCTTCAAACAGTGGAGTAGATCAAAGTGAATGTGTTACCGTGAGAGAGATCTTTCGAGGTTTCATTTCTCGCGTCTAAAATTACCACCAATTTTCTACCCTTTTTGTCTTACAATAAACACTTCGACGAATTTTTCAAATTAATCTCTTGATACTTAAAATTAATATTAACAAATCCCAAATGAATTCAGAAATATTCACGAAATGTCTACAGTCTATCTGTAAATCTCAAATAAAATGAGCACAAAATATTTTAATAAAAACCAAAGAAGCATTACAGCGCCAAAAAAAGTGAGAAAAATTTGTGGACCAAAAAAGCTATTACATTCCCTCGTAAAATTAAAAGGTGCCTTTCAAACGTTGATCTGAATTTCGGTATAAAATTCGATAAAAGACCGATCAGAGTCTTACTAAACCAAATCCACATTCCCTAAAATTACACAAAAGTTTCATGCTTCCAATCAAAAACTCTAACACCCACACGCACGAAACGTATCAATCAAAGGACACCCGACACAAAATCCATCAACTTGGTCAGCAAACGAAAAGTCGCCGCGAAGGTCTCGATCGTACCTCGAATCTACGCTGCTGCGTATATTGGCAGAAAGGAAACGTCATGGGAGCAGTGGTAGGGCGATGTTCACGAAAAGCTGCGACGCGGCTCTCGTTGAAATGCGCCGCTCTTTTATAACGCGCCACTGAGCTTACACGCGCGCGCCGCTCGTTAACCCGGCCATCAGATTCACGCATGGCGCTGCAAAAAAGCACGACGACAGCGCGAAACGTGGCCGACTCGCCGCTGTTGACTTTTCCCTCCCTTGCCCTCGCCAATTCCCATCCCCGTTGCGTCCGTCCTTTTATTCCTGATTTTTCAATTTCTACCCTTTCGTATTACCCCCTCGGCCGTGTCCACGGTCGCGAATCACTCGATCCCTTCACGGGCCGCGCGATTGTGTTCCGCTTTCGAAAAGCGATTTCGTTCGGCAAACAGCAAAGGCGTTCAATATCTCGAAACAGGTACGTCGATGAATGGGAAATGGATATTTAGCGAAGGGGGAGAGAAAGACGCTTTGGCTTATCAAGAGTTCGCCATTCAGAGAGGTATTTGAATTAGCCGTTCGACTAATTGGTCGTGTATGAAATGTTGTTAATTAGAGGATTTAACAGAATGAATTGCGGTGACACGTGTAACGGGGCGATCGGCTTGTCGGTGGCAATTGTGACGTTTGATTAGGTTTACACGCGTTGGTTTGTTCAGGGGGAAATTGTAGGTGTGAAGAAGTGAATCGTGCTTGACGATCGGTGGATATGAATGGAAGTATTGTTAGAAGCTACCGAAAGCTTCCAGAAATTCTGAGCCTTGAGTAAATCGCGTGAAAATTTCCATTTTATCATTTTCACTAGTCAACGAGAAGAATTAAAATTCATACCGTGAAGAGGAAATAAGAATTCTAGATTCTCGAAAAATATGTTCAATTGTTAAGCTACCAGGTAAATTCACGAAATACGGTATCAAAGAGAACGTGTTATTGAAAATCTCGAAAGTAAAAATTGTTAAAATTCGTAACGTGACAAAATGTGAATGGAAAATTAGGATTCTGAATTCTCAAAATGTAGGTTTAATTAAATCACGAAATACAGAATCGAAGAAAACGTGTCATTGAAAATCTCGGAGGTAGAAATTGTTAAAATTCGTAACGTGAAAAAATGTGAATGGAAAATAAGTATTTTAAATTCTCGAAATGTAGGTTCAATAATTAAGCTACCAGGTAAATCCACGAAATACAGAATAAAAAAAAAGCTGTAATTGTTAATCTCGAAAGTAAATCACACGACATGTTTACCAAAACCGCCAACAAGATAGGTATTCTGATATTTACTGTAAACGGAATGCTTTGACAAAAGCTTCTTTGTGTCGTAATTACAATATTGACAAATGCATTACAGCTACTCATTGTGTCATTATCCGACAGAGCACGATTAAACACACTGCAACGAATGAAATTCATCGTAATTCCCCTCGTCCATTGTCTTTAAACTCTTCCAAACGTTTCAATTACAAACGCTCCGGGGGCAATTGAGAAAATTCAAGTTGAGAAATTCGGTTGAACGCGTGAAACGAATCGCGTCGTCTAATTACCAGATTAGATGCGGTCCCGCTACAATCACCGCGAAACATTTCGGCCTGAACGGGAACCGCAGACCAAACAGAAACAGTCTGCCGATGAATTACGGACGATGTGATGCGCAATCGTGCGCGTGTAATTTTCGGAAAAGCGCGTATAGTATATAATATATAGGTAATGACGAGCGGCGAACCGCGCGGAACGACCGGCGAGAATTTTGCGAGTTGACGGTAAATTTCGCCCTTGTTACAGGTCTGCTCAGGCTGCAGCAGATCTACCAGGGCCTGAAACCTGGCAACGAGTCGTTTCAGGTGGAAACGGTCAAGCGAATACAAAATATGTCCGAGGCGATCGACTTTCTGCGCAGCTTGGAAGAACTCAATAGGTAAGCTCGAAAATTTCAGGTTCAACGATATACACTACCGGCCAAAAGTTTAGAATCGCCTGCTGATTTACGGTTAAATTGAATCCGAAATTGATGTTGCGGAGATCGATAGCATTTTACCTTATTTCGTTTGATTTGTACGAGGAAAGATTGGTTAAAATATTCTTAAAATTGCTAACTTTATTCTGGAAATTTTTGTGTAACTTGCAATGCACAGTGATTCCAAACATTTGGCCGGTAGTGAAAATGGTACAGTTACAGCGAACAAACAGTACACCAATGAAGAAAATTTAATTCACAGAACCGACTTATTTCTAAAATAATGAAATAATTCGTGGTTTAATAGTGCATTAAAATTTCACACCAAAGAACGTTAATATTCTGATTATTATTACCGAACACCCAGCATATTAACAAAGACAATTTCATTCACAGAACCGATTTATTTCCAAAATAATTCCCGACGTACTCCCAAAAATTCCTATTTTCCCTTCTCCTCTCTCGAAAAGAAATAAAAAAGATCCAATGAGGGATACAACTAGAAGATTGAAAAAAATTTCCAGGAAATAATTATTCCTCTTGCAAAAACTGTGCCGTCAAAGAAAGTTTCAGTAACGGATAAAATTCGCCGAATCCGCGAAAGTCTTCCTTTTTCTTTTTTCGTACAAACGAGGATTGTCGGACTGGTTGATGGAAAAAATCGTTGAACACTGGATCATGCATTAGTATAGCTTTATATTTCGGGGGCGGCGATGTCTGTCCGCATTCAGACAGGCTGACGGATCACGCTTTTGTGCGAGTACGAGCGGTCACCGCGTATCTCGGCCGCAATTTACCGCTGGCCACGCATTTGCACGGGCCAGGTAATCAAGAACCGGCTACCGACAATGAGCCCGAATCGAATGAACGTTCCCGTTACCGAAAACAAAACGTAACTATTACGAATCGTCGCCGGGAAAACGGCTCGTTGCACAGCGACTTTATCGCCGGAGAACCGACTCTCTCCACCGCGAATTATGCAAATTCATTAGGGGAGAGCCGTGATATTTCGCGATACGGAAACGCCAACAAATGCCTCTCGTTTGGATACGTTTCAATGGAATTACACCCCGCGATAAGGCGTGCAGAATGTTCTCGAGGATGCGTACAATAATTTCGAATGTTCCGAGAACTTTTTTTTTTTAACGCGCACTCGTTGAGAAAGAAATTCGAAATGTGGTAAATGGAACGTGGTGTTTTAGAGGTACAAACGGTGATTTTCATTTTCCGAGTTTCGGAGAATATTCTGGACAATTGTACATTACGCGATTTAAATTGACTCCCCCAGGTTTTTCGCTGTGTAAGAAATTTTCTTGTAAAAAGAGTATCGTTAAAAATAGTGTGGAATACGCGAAAAATGCTTTTCGGATATATTTCAGAGTAAATACTTTGTACAATGCTATCTATTTAGAGGCAAATATTGAATTTCAGAGGTGTTACGTTTTTCCAAAATAAATATTTCCCAAAACGGTGGAAAAATTCAACAATAATTTGATCGAACAAACGGAATTTCTATTTGAAATGTAAAGTAACTGAAAAATACCAAATACGGTGTAATCTATACTGAAATGAAACAGCATACCCGGTAATCGAACGAAATTTTTCATAGATGGAGCAACAAATACGTGGTGCTCGATTGTCCAACAGACATGGCGAAGGATATCGTGGTGAGCCACGTGAGGGACGTTGCACTGGGGAAAAGAACGTACCACTACTTGTTGAGCGGATTGGTGAGTATTCTATCTCGCGAATAAAACCCAAAATTCCAGCGATAAGGACCACTGTCACGCGTACGACAATTACCGCGCGTGTTTTACCTGCACACCGTAGTCGAGAAAGGCAAAGGAACCTCGAGACGGCTGAGGACACTTCAGATCTCCGTCAAAATAGCACGGAATAGGGAAATGTTAGCTCACGCGTACACTTGGAGGTACACAGGATAAGTGCACCGTGTTTAGCGGTTTCTAGTCAGTGACAACAACCGAGAATGCAGCCTTTCGAGACGCACAACTTGCGCATTCACGCGAGTTCCTTGTCTCCTCGACGAGGAATACCATCGTCGTGCATTGGACCATTTTCCAAATGCCAATATTCTGTTTATTCGCTTCTGTGCTTTCGGTTCTTTGTTCCTGAACACTGCACGTTCCTCCTCGAGGAAGTTTAACCTACACAGAGCGTGAAATCGTAAAAATTTTCATTACTCACGAATAAAAGAAGCAATTTTTTAAATATTGTTTCAATGTAACAATTTTGCGTGATTTTCTCGCCTCGAGTTTCCATATCATTTACTCCCCCCCGTCTCGATGTATTTTCATTCGCTGGCCGCTTTGTCTGGCCGATCGGAACGGCGACGAATTGCTCGACTCGAGATCGACGTAATCGCGGATAAACGGTGCCGCATTTGGCACGCGAAACTCTCCTATCTGTAGACCTTTCATTCCCGCGTAACGTTCCAGTTGAAAAACGCGCTCCTCCGCTTTCCGTCGTTTACAAAACGCTACAACCGTACCGCCTTTCTTGTAATCAGATAATGGACGACCGATGGGAGAGCGAGGTGATCGAGTACGGTGCCATCAACATCACCGGTTTTCGCATCGTGGACGCCACTCGACCTTACGTCAAAGACTTTTTAGCAGGCTGGCATCGTCTGGATCCGGCGACGTCTCAGGGTGCTGGCCGAGAATCTATTTCCGTACGTATGCCGCTCGTTCGTTTTCCCCTCCTTGAGAATCCTCCTTTGCAAAAGTTGCCTCTCCGGTCCGCTAAATGTACTCTTGGAAAATTGTGCCGCGCTCCAGATAAATCCCCGCGAATTTATGCCCCCTTTCCTCTTATATGTAGATCCTTGAAACATAGTTTCGCTCGCCTCTTAGGGAAATTATTGGACAGACCTTGGTGAAATTATTCTCCTGTTGTCCCACGTAGACGTATCCTTGCGACAATGTCTCCGTTTCGAGGATATACACGAGGAGGAAGCCAACGGAATTGAAAAACTGAAGTTTCGCAGGAGGAAGAAAATAAACTTTGAAATGATAAAAATCAGACACTCCGGTTTCTCTCCCAGTGAAAATATTTTCCTGAACGTTGGTGCAATGTTCGATATTTTCCCATGAAACTGCGATAACGTTAGAATTTAGTTTACATTCTTTTACAGAGTCTGTTGGTTTTTCTCTTCTTCATTTGTTCCAGATGAGTCTTTGAAAAATGATCTTTATCGACTCTCGTAAGGTGATATCTCCTTTTTCTTCTGCTCTGAAATTTATTTGGTTCGTCCAATAACATTGCACGCCCTCTTGCCAGCTCCTGGCAGGCAGTAGTCGTCTTTCCAAGAAGGGGAGACGCCTATTCGAGGTTCGTATGGGCTGTCGAGTGCCTCCGAGTACATCAATTTTCTGCCTTAAGCGCGCCAGTCTGCTCTGGTTTCCGGCTTGTTTTCGGATACTTAGCACGGTCAAGTGGAGGCGACTGTTCGCGAAAGGGACGCCCCGAGAGAAGCAAACTGGGGGCCTAGAGTCCTGCCAGCCGAGCTCTATACGGATCTGATAGTCTCGGGACGATTCTTTCCGGGGGGCTCTCGACAATCTCACCCTCGACGATTCGTATTGTTCACTCTCTTCGATGCAAAAATATAGTCAATGCGTTGAGAGAAATTGGAGAAAAGGGACAGAGTGGAAAGATGTGAACGAGGAGATGCAAAGTGTCTAAAAAAAAATTAGAACAGCTTTACGACGTATTTTCTAACTTTGCAACCATGTGCGCGATGCTGAAATTGTCCTAACGCCGCATAGAAAGTTGCAACGTAGTTCGGGAAAATGGCTCTAACAACGTCGTGGAAAGTTCAGTCGCCCTGTCACAACGTTGCAAACTCAATCCGGACCTTAAAATAACGACGAATAAAATTACAGGGCATTCCCCAAGGGTTCGCGACAATGCTGAGAGTACAATGTTGCACGCGTTGCAATCGCTCGTATCGCACTCAGAGCACCAGAACAATCTGAAAATACTCCGTAACAACGTTTAAAACGTTTCTGTACTCTGCGACAATGTTGAATAACGCCGAAAGAGCCACGAAAAAATTGGAGAGTACATCCTCTACAAAATCCTCGTGTTTGCAACAATGTTGCGAAACGCTCTCTACCTTGACAGAATATCAAACGTTCGCCCGGAGTCGTGAAACAACGTTAAAAAATCGTCGCGCGTACGTTGAACTATGTTGGAAAATGTAGCTAAAGCACTCCATACCTCTTGAACAACGTTACACTGCGCAACAGCGAGTTTAATCCGCTCATAACCGTTCTCGCAACCCATTATCCAGCTTCACCTGGCCGTCGTAGAATTTTATTGCGATCCACCGATGAATCGTACCGCCTAAGCTCGCCGAAACGATCCCACGCTTATCGCGATCTCCTCGAGTAACACCGCGTTACCAATCCTGCTTTCTCAACGTTCGATCCACGACGCCCGCGCCTCGCCGGGGAATTACCGTCGAAGATGAGGCTGCCACGCGATCCAACGCGATGATTATCCTGATCGATCGCCGCGCAATTTCCGGCCGCCTCGTTTCCTCCAACTTTGGCCACGTGCCCGACGTAACCTCGTCCTCGTGAATCTGCGTACGTCTCCCCCGGCGCGGCGGCGACGATAAATGGTTTTCTCGGGTCCCCGAGTCAGCTGAACCGACCGAACGAAGAAACTCGGTTTTCGTTTCTCCACCCTCCCCGCCGCCGCGCATAATTTCAATTGTTACGACGATTAGCGGGCGTTTCAGTTGCTCGAGCAAGCACAGGGGAACTGTGAGTAATTTTCAGCGGCTTTTCCGGAACGCGCGAACGCCGGGATTGATGTGGTGTTTTTGAAATTGCCGCGCTTTCCGACGATCGATGTGTACACACGTATACGGACATACGCGAGGTTTTCGACGCAGGACAGCACGATTTGATTAACGGAACTATGGATCGGTAATTAATCCAATTCCCCGTATGGTCGCGTGATTAATCGTGGACAGAGGAGCCGTGTTGTCTCTCGATTGAATTTTTCGATTGAAAGGGTTGTTGCGGGGGCAATTATGCTCGCAGGGAAATGGGAATAAATAGAGGGGAAATGTGACGCGTTTGTTGGCCTGTTGGTGGAATATTGCAAGCTTTCCAGGTGGATAAACGTTGGAAAGAGAATGTTTCGCGGCTTTGACGTTTCAGAGGGAAATTTTTGATACAGTGATATCGCAACCGAGCCTATGTCCTTTCTACCGTTCGAATTAAGGAGATGTGCATTTTTACGTCGCTTGTATTACCTCTATGTGTAATATAATTAACGATGGTAATGATACCTGAGAATACTGTATCTCTAATTGTTCAGCGCGTACGTAGTATTTATCTGTTTTATTTTAAACTCTACTCGATACGCTTCAAGCGGTAAATTAATGGAAGCTTGAATATTTGGGGGTTTGATGCGAGATATAACTACAGTTACCCCTTCACTCAATTTAATATTATAAGTAGTGTGGTTGCAGCACGGTATTACAATTTTTACCGAGAAACGTGTTTTTTGTTGAAAGTGTACTGGTGTATATTGACTTGTGTTTTTCGTTTAGCTTAATTTATATCTTGTATACAATTTTTTTGGCGGGGGTGAGGAACGCGGATTGGTTCTTGTGGTCTTCTGGAAATAGGCCCGGAAGGGGTTGCTATCCTTCTATTGGATCCCCATGTGCTAGAGTCACCAGCATGGGAACCTCGGGTGACGTCCGGGAATTTCCGCGTCCCTCGACCGTAACAGGTAATAACTTTATGAAGCGCCTTGACCTTACTAAGACATGCAAAATTACAATAAAAAATAGAAACGGCATTAAGCCGAAAATAAAGAAGTATATTACTTAAGTTTAAAACGTCGTAGAAGGTAACCGATGGCCGGTGGCTTCATAAACTTATTGTGTTACGGGTTCCTTAGAATTAAACCTTAATTCTAAGTTGGCTTTCTTCGCGCCTAGGGTCGCATCATAAAGCGTTGTTACAATGTAACACTAATAAAGAAAAGAATCCACGTCGATTTAATATTCTGCATCCTCCGTCGGTGCAAAAATTCAGCATTTTCCACCGTCGTGTTAAAGAAAAATGTCCACGAGAAAGTTACACAGAGAACCTACCTTTTTCTCAGGCAAAAACAAAAATCATCGCGATCCTCGGCGACTCGAACACTGATTCGACAATCTTCCTCCCATTAGGCACAAGCGGCGTTGATGTACGACGCCGTATTTGTTCTCGTCGAGGCGTTCAACAAGTTTCTGAGAAAAAAGCCGGACAGGAGCAACGTGAGACGGACCGGGATTCCTGGCAGCAGTCAGATTACCAACGGCACCAAAGGTCTCGATTGCAACAACAGTCGAGGCTGGGTCACGCCGTTCGAGTACGGCGACAAAATTTCCAGGCTGCTCAGAAAAGTGAGTAAACGTTATTACGCTTTATCCGGATATTAAAAATTGTAGGAAAAATAAGCGCCTAACCCCGAATTATTTCAAGATTAAAACATCATATTCTAAAAAACAATATTAAAAACATAAATTTCCTCGTTCATTTCTGCAAGAAACCCCTATTTTTAAATTTCTTCAATATTAATCCTGAAAGAGTGGTGCACAGAACTGTTCCCAAACGAAAATTACACTTTTGTAATTACATTTTATACATAAAAATACTGGTAAAATTAAAGTTTTTTAACCCTTATGTCAAGAACCGCATACCCTTTCGCATAATTCTCACTTAAAATAATTTATCTTCCAGGTTGGAAGATTTTTAATATCCAGCCAGATCGTTGTTATTTCGCACATTTCCTATCCGTGTTTGCCTCAAGTTTACAATTTTGTTATCAGAAAACTACTAAAATTGGACGACAAAGTAGGCGACAATTCCGGTTATTGGCATAAGGGTTAAATTAAAAGTAACGTTTATTTACCGTAGCACATATAACTGAGACACAGTAAATTATCACCAAATAAAATTGTAAAACTTGACTCTATTTCCGAGGACTTTTTCATATGCCACTCTGTGCGAATGATCGATTAAACCATAAAACCCCTTGCAAGATCACAAAATATTTTCTGCAACAACCCGAACCCAATTTCCACCTCGTGGGTTCGATTCGATCGCAGCAGCATCCTTGCGGCACGATCGTTTATTCAGCGTGCGTACAAGTAATATCGTCTACGGGCGACGAAGGCGCGTTATCGACGACAGAACGGCGTGACAAGGCTGCGCAGGCCTGTCGTTGATTCGTCCGCAAAATTCTGGAGGCACGGATAGAAACGCAGAAATACTCGATATGTTTCGAATAGCCGCGCGGCGACCGAAATTGCCAGGGACGGTTCCGAACGTCTCTCTGTCGCTGACAGTAATTGGCGGTTATTCCGACTCTAACGGCATTCCACGTCAGATCGTTTCCCTTCGTTCTGTGTACACACGTATACAGTTACACCGGAAGTGGCCCCCATTTCTCTATCTCCCACTCTCTTTACAACTTACATCCTCTTCGTCGCTCGACACCGCTTGGACGCGAGAAGCTGTCGATAGCCGGAGTATCATTACCAGTTTTTGCTTTTTTTTTTAATTATGAGACAGGATTAACGATAATTTGCTTGACCAGAGATGAACTGTGTTTAACCGGGGCGGAATCACCATTACTAACTACACTGACCGAAAAAAGTATTCATACACCCTATAATGGAATAACTTTCTTAAAATTGGGCCAAACGACTTGAGTTTTTTTTGAGAAGATAGAAAGATTAGTTTACCAGGTGATGCGCAAAAATTTTTTGAAAAAACTGCAATTAGTCGGAATCGCGAAGAACATAGCGAAGGCCGTTTTTACAACTTTCTTATCTGAACTCTTAATGAAAATTTAAAAAATACGTCTTGTAGATCTATACCAATTATACACACGCTGAAAATTTCATCGAATTTGATTTGAAAATTTGAATTTGATCTTCAGCTATCGTCTGAACCAGAATTATGCCAAAATATATATTTTTCTGATTTTTAGAGCCTCTGAAATACGAAAAAAGGTCGGCAAAATCGATACGCAAAATTCAAAGTGCCGCCATTTTGTAAATTATCACTATTTTTCGTTCATTCTGTTTCACACCATAACGGAATGCAGAAGTTCCTGGACTCGAATTGCAAATACTTTCGATTTACGTATCGACATACTTTTTTTAAAATTTTCAATTTGAATCGCCAAATTTAGATACTTAACGTCACTTAGCAGGATTGTCAACTTGCAAAGATGTCACTATTCCCCTTTCATCGCCTTCCATTTTATTATAATAAATTATTGAACTCAGAGTCGAGAAACTTTTATTCCATACTGTAAATTATACACACATACGGTGTCTCGTTTAATTACTTCTATTCGTTTAAATGACACGACAAAGGTTTCATGTGTAATTCGAACGACATCAAAGAGAGAACTCGTCGAGAAAAATATTTTTGTATAGGGATAATTTTTTCGAAATTTCCGAGATCACCGATGTCGTTCGAATTACACGTGTACCGCCCTCGCTAATGGCAATGCTAATTGAATTTCCACCTCGTCAACATTAATTACCGCAAATTAACAATTTCGTCCCCGTATGCAAGGAGATACTTTACCCGCCACTCTTTAGAAACTCTATCAGCGTGACAGAGTGACAGTAAGTTCTCCAAAGTAACGCAATATTTGCGAACATATGTCGTTCCGCGAGGAACAAACAACTGTGTTACATTATTCAACGCCGACACGTGAATCCCGCATTTAACTTTCAGGTGGAAATCGAGGGACTGACGGGGGAGATCCGCTTTAACGATGACGGTCGCAGGCACAATTACACCCTCCACGTCGTCGAGATGACAGTCAACAGCGCCATGGTCAAAGTAAATATTTTTTTCCCGCGACGAGCCTGGTCACGTGTCCTTTCGCTCTTGTTTTTCTTTCTCTGTTTTTCTTTTTCCGTTTTTATCCGTCCGCGTCCCCTATCGTCAGGGGCCAAAATGTAATCTCACGGTTTCCGAATTTTACAGTGCGCAAAAAACCTCGAAATTGTCGCGTCGAAGCAAAAAAACCGAAGCGCTACGCCCGATCCCTTTTAATTCCTCGTTTCACGCTGTTTGCTCTTTGACGCAGGCCTCCGGTTCGATGACTTCCCGCGACAATATTGACCATCGATGACTATCGACCGCGCGCGCGCACACACACATATACACGCGAGAACCTCGACCACACGAATTTTATCAAGCCCGCAACGCGGTCGAATCCATTAACAATTCACGAATTTACCCTTCAAGGTGGCAGAATGGACGGACGAGGCTGGATTCCAGGCAATCGCCGCGAAATACATACGACTTCGACCGCACACGGGAATCGAGAAGAACAAGACCTATATCGTCACCACCATTGTGGTAAGAATGTGGTTGTATAAGATTTTCTGGCGAGGAAAATCATTGCTAACGAGTTAAACGAAATAGAATAGGCTTGTTTGTTTATATCGTTGTTTTGTTGAATTTTATAATCTAGGAGGAACCTTACATCATGAAGAAGAAGTCAGAGACTGGGGAAGTGTTGACTGGTAACGACAGCTACGAGGGATACTGCAAGGATCTGGCTGATCTGATAGCTAAGAAACTGGGAATAACGTGTAAGTATCTTGTTTCACAGTGAATTTCGACAAATGTAGCATTTTAACATCAATGTCAGTGATATAGTGGTGCAATAAAATATTCGAGACCCTTGAGTCGCAATATTTATCTATAAAGAAAAATTGAGTTAAATTGGATTCAATGGAATTACAAAAGCACTTTGTCCTTCACGTTGATACTAATTTCCACGAAATATCGTTAAAAAATAGATAAAATAAAAATCCGGAAAAAAAATTAGGCTAGCAACGTTCACCTAGTCACCCCGCCCTCGAGACTTTCAAGAACCTCACGAACCTTCCGTCTCTACATCCATTCCAATCAGATAATCAACAAATTTTCACGGATTTAACAAGGAGTCGAAAAATTCGTCGACGATCGACGACAAATCTAACGGAAAATTTGCATTTTTCAGACGAGCTACGAATAGTGAAAGACGGAAAGTACGGCATGGAGGATCCGGATGTTCCAGGCGGTTGGGACGGCATGGTCGGCGAGCTGATCCGCAAAGTAAGTTTCAGAGACGTTAATGGAACAATTCATCGGGATGTGGGAGCTTTTTACGAGGTTAAATACCCCGGTAGTTAACGTACCGAGGAGGGCGGAACGATTTCGTCCAGCTACGCGAAAGATTCCACTATTGATCGGCAAGGTCCGGCTCGAAACGAACGACCAACGAGCTGTTTTATCTTTTACCAGAAAGTACGAAGCTCCTCCACCAGATGCCTCGAGCTTGCAAGCTCTCCGGCCTCGTTCGACGTATTTCGAACTACATCTGGTGGACGAACTGGGAACGAACGAAAAGTGAAAGCTCTGCTGAAAGCTCGAAGCTTTATATTCGCGTTCAATAGAGGCAAATTGAAAATGAAATTCTGTTCGATGTTATACTTGAATAATCAAATGAACTTAATCTAATTTCTATCGATCGTGTAAATAAATTAGTAAATAATTCGTTTTAATTTTGTGGGTAACGATAACGTTGTTAATTGTCAGCTTGTACGATACTGTTCGGTATTGCCGTTTAGTTTAAATGGTAATTGTTCGGTTAACAATTGTGGTATTCTTTCAGGAAGCAGATATAGCCATTGCTCCCATGACAATCACTTCTGAACGCGAACGAGTGATCGACTTCAGTAAACCGTTCATGTCACTTGGAATCAGCATTATGATAAAGAAGCCCATCAAGCAGAAACCTGGTGTATTCAGCTTTTTGAATCCATTGAGCAAGGAGATCTGGGTGTGCGTGATCTTCTCGTACATCGGTGTATCCATCGTGCTATTTACCGTGTCCAGGTAAATGATATTTTCCAGGAGTTACTCGCTGCTTTAGGCTGGCGCGCGGTTAAGTAGATACGGTCGGTATGTGGTCAGACATGCGGCGAAATGTGCTTTCGCATTCGACTGTACCTTTGTCGTGCAACGCGTCGATATTCTTCGAATTCATATCAAACACAATATCTTCATCGTCGACAAATCTAGTTTTCATTATGTTTGCAATAATAATTAGATAATTCTTTTAATATCAGAAAAAATTGAAATTTTGTCATAATGTTGGAGATTTAATTTTTTTTCTATTGCAACATTGCGTAAAAGTAATTTGAAGCAGTATCAAAAATAACGTATTCCGTTTACCTTTGCTACACTATGTAAAACTGCTTCCTACCGAAGGTACTTAACAGCCAAGTAAATCAGAAGAACAATCGTACGCAATACGAGGAACTATGAATTTTAATTTTCGCCCGCAATGTTCTACACGACAGCACATTCCCCGACACGCATCGCGGCGATGCAAATGAAGCGAAAAAGGGAGAAACCACAAGGTGGAACACGAGAAAGCGGCAATTTATTGTTACAGAAATTTCCGACCCCGTGATTGATCGTTACACTCAATGCCACCCTCTAACTACACAACATTACCTTCCCCTTAGCCTTTTCCTCTCGATGGATAATTACGCAACAGTCAACCTTGTTTACCTACTCACCGAGTGCCACAGTTACGTGTCGAGTCGCGGCAATTACGCGTGCATTTATCGCTGGTGTTATCGTCGCGAGCTGCCACGATAAATCCTCGTTGCTTTTATACATGCCTCGCCATGGCTATTTCACGTTTCCCATCTTGCGTGATTTCCAAAAATGTGGCACTTTGACAATAGCCTATAGTCTCAACGAGAGAATTCTAATTCGAAATACTTTGCCGTTTGATCGTCGAACAATCGATGTCTATGAAATCGTTACACTATAGAAATTACGAACAAAAAATGTTTTTTAGGTGTTATCTTTTTTTTAAATTGCTCATGTTTAAGTTTAACGTTTACATTAACTAGCGACGTTAATTCCATCCCTTTTACACAGATTCTCTCCCTACGAATGGAGAGTGCTGACACTAAGCAGCGGCGCGGATCCCACAATGGCTACCAGAAACGATCCCACGTTACAACATCCACATGGATCTCAAGGATCGCCTCATATACCAACGTCCAGTATGGCGAACGATTTCAGCATCATCAACAGCCTTTGGTTCGCGTTGGCCGCGTTCATGCAGCAAGGTTGCGACATATCGCCCAGGTAAAGTCGTTAATTTCCTCGGTGTAATTCACCTGTGATTTTGATAAGGCTGATTCATTTATCCAAACCGTGGGGACTTTGTAAAAGTTAATTGTTTCGTAATCTAGCTAGCTTATCAGGCTTTCTTTACGTGGTTTCGTGTCGCGACGATACACGAGGCTGTCGTTAGGTCACGTGTAATTCTTTCTGGTGGAAAGCAGGCGGGTTTATTTTAATTAGAACGCATTCTTGAGAGCTATCGTCGAGGTCAATAGAATGATTTGAAACCGCGGAGGCTAAGAAATTAAGTAATTTACTTCTTAGTGCACCGTTTATATTGAGGCTGCTCAGGCAGGCCTCTTACGGGCGCCCGCCGTGACTCGCGGGCAAAGCTAGGGGCAATTGACGCCCACGGTCATTAGAGCAACGTGCGAGAGTTTAGGCGCTTTCTGAGCATTGTGTCGTGGTACCAGAGGTTCATACCAAGATTTACCGTCGTTAAAGAAATTACTAAATAAACAATAAGACTGGATTCGGCAGAAAGATGCAGCAGAAATTCAGAGTCCTCACTGTGCCCTCGAGTAAGAAGATAGAGCCTCTGACTCCAACAATATGACATCAAGATTAAGTACCACTGAAGTTCCGACAGAACTCCACGTTAGATCCTCTACACCTTACTGAAATCCCTCATTGAACACTCAGGAACTGATCATCGCCGATCGATCGATCGCCACCGTCCTGTCAGACGCTGCTTCGATGGGAAACCAACCGAATATCGTCGAACCAATCCAATCTCCAATTTCGTAGACTCAACAACCACGAGTGAAGAATCCGCGTGAAGTTAGTCTAAGAATTATACAGTAAAATATCTTAGTGTAACTAAATAAGTAATAGTTTAAGCCACATCCACCTACCCAGCGTGTCCTGGTAGTCAAACGTGGATTCGCGCAGCGTCTAACACGCACGAAAAACCGCTGAAGCTTATAAGGCTACTCGTATCGCGTAACGCCGACCATTAATAGCGTTGAACATCTTCTATCAACGGGTGTAGCGATAGTAATCGAGGTACACGTGAAGGAAGCTTGTGAAAAGTGTCTGCCTGGTCGTTTAACCGAACAACTGATAACAGGTTGCGTGTTAAGGAAGAAACGTAGCTCGTCTTTCTCTCGGCTAATTATAGCTACTTTTACCGTGCTCCCTGTTTCCGTTTCCGTGGTACAAGCGACCCGGGGTAAAGTACATAGAGCCACGGACGACGGCGAGAACGACTGCCTTTTACTTGGAACAGGTCAACCGTGCAGTCTGCTAATAAGATGAATCGGGCGAAACTCAAAAGGTTCGTCGCTCTCGCTTAAAGTCTACTGTGCAAACGTTTCCCAGTTCTTCCATTGCGTCGAGACACGCTGAAAAGAGAAGCTACTTCTGTGTAATTAGCGAACAGATTTCGATTCAAGTCGCGACAGTATCGTAGCCAAAGAACGAATTCAACAATAATTCTTACAATAGACAGTTTCCAGTCGAGAGGTGAAGTTTCTATTAGAACGTGTTTCATATAAGCTAAGATTTTTGTGACAATGATAGGATTATCGGATGCAAACTGTGATTACTTGGAAACTAATTTGTGCGGTTGCCGAGGAAGTGAGATTGAAGATGGAAGTCCACAGAGAAAAAGTTTTTCAACTTCGTCTTACGGTACACAAAGATGAAGTGTACTTCAAAGGGATACCTACAGCAGCTCGAAATTAATCTCAAACCTGTTTAATTGCTCCAGTGTCAATATTTTCGGTGAACGAAGTGAATTTTTAAATTCTTGAAAATTCGTTTAATCGATAACTGACACCAGTAGTGGTTGGTAGGTTGTAATAAACAAACTCAATTAATATTCTACACTACTTTTATTTAATAAGGTAAGTGCTCTCTGCTCGACGTCTAGCGCTTACGCTTTGTCCCTATTGCTGTCGTGTCTTCGTCTGTTCGTATTGCGGTCTCTGTCGATATCCCTACTAAGTATTGGTCGGTCTTTTACCGTCCGCTTCTTTATTCTCGACGCCACAGCGCCCTTCATTTTTAATAAAACTTACTAACCACTCGGCGTACAATACCAAAGACCTAAATGCACATCAAACACAATCAGAATTCTACGAAAACGTTATTACCCACGTATACAGTATCGCATAATTACTTATCCACACAAAAGAAATTAAAAAAGAGAATTAATTCCTCCAACGACCTGTTCTCGCGAAGAAACACCTCACGCTGCACGCAGGTTTAAGGTGTGTCCTTCAACGCACGATCTCCACCGGCGTTCGCCAGATAGCCCAGCGATGATAACCTTTAAGAGTGTGATTTACGAGGGCCACTCTGTGGGAGGGGTAAAGGTACACGGTAATTACTGTTGCAAATTCCTTCGTTTAAATTACAACCGCGTGTTAGGTAAACGGCGATTATAAACCGCGTGGCCAGAATTATCACAATATAATCGGATTACGCTTCCGTAGTCTCGTGCCGGTGGTAATTTAGAGCTACTCTCTCTCTCTCTCTTTCTCTCGTAATCGGCACCGCGATTAGGCGTCCGGCTATTCGAGGGCGGCTCATTTGAATGAGCGTGTCGCTCGTGGTAGCGCGCTCGAAAATTCCATTAGCGACACGCGCCAACCAACCGAGGCCGTACATTTCCAACCGATTCGACCCCCTTTCTTTCTCTCTCTCTCTCTCTCTCGCTCTTTTTTCTTCTGTCCTCCCCGCTTTTATATCCTGCTTCCCACGCATCAAGCATCGATCAACCGTGCCCGCGATCACGAACAATACGTTTCGTGCCGGCAGTAATACGAGTTTCTGCTGCCCCCCTTCTGCATAAACGTCGATGTTGTTCCGCGACGTTTTTGCCGGTTTTTTCTCTTTTTTTCGTGCCCGTCGAATGTCTGACGAAGGTGTCGCGTTTTTCACGATGCTTGTCGTTACTGAAACGCCGGTGCTGGGAGGTTGATGGAATGATATTAGGAAAGTGACTTGATGAGGTCGTTCAGAGATTGGATTTCTTATTTCTGGGAAAATATGTGGAGATGTTTTATAATATGGAATATTGGATTTTTAACTTTGCCTTGAGAAGAAGTGATCGAAACTCGTTTCTATTTTCCACCATTTTTAGATAGAAACGTATCTTACTAATTTGAAAAAGTCTTTTCGTCTATCCTTTCGTCAAACAGTAAAAAAAAATTAAATTTCTAATTTTCCAAAATTTCTGCATTTCTGGAAATTGCGAAAATCTTCATATTCTATATTCTTCAGAAAATTCACAACAGTTCTACCCGCACGCGATACTTCTTGAAAATTGTGATCCAACGGGGAACAATTATTTCACGATGCCAATTTAAATTTCAAATGAGCACCGGCTATACAAGTTCGGTGACAATTTTAATGCGGCTCCGCGGAGCCGACATGACATTTCTCGCACGTATTAATTCTTCCTCGAGCCTTCCTTCACCAACGGGCTATAGCACTTTTAAAACAAACACAGGCCCGAATTACAAAGGACGAAACTGTTCACGTACGGGCGCGTCTCGTAAATCTACGTAGGAGCGATAGGTTTCGGCCACTTCGGGAACTGGGTCTCAATTAATTTCCATTTCGCCGTATCCACCATGCCACCCCATCGCGGGTAGCCTCCTTGATTAATGGTTTAAATATTCCCGCGGCGCCGATATGAATTGTAAATTTCGCGGAACCTTCTGTCCCCTTCTACCCCCTCGTCCGCCGTTTCCACGACGTGATTCCGCGCGGACAGCACGTAAAGCTTCGTTATTAAATACCGTCACATCTATCGGACGTAGGTTGTAGAGAAAAGAGTAGGAAATGGAGAGAGCGAGTGTCGCGACTTCTTCGAGATGTTAAGTTTCACAGAGGTAGATATGATTCTCTAGGATGTACCAAGGGAACGACGAGAGAAATTTACCTGTGAAAAATCGAAGGTATAACTTTTGCACCGTTTGAAGGTGAGAGCGTGTGCAAGGTAATACTCGGCGAGCTACCTTCGTGGTGATATTACGTTATTACGCGTGATTTACCTCGTGATACGTCTCGCGTAATGACACAGCCCGGGGATTTTTATTGTGTTTCTTGGAAATCGAGAGCAATTGGGAAGTTTGTCGACGCTCGTCAAAAATACACGGCTGATTAGCTTGTACGTTACGGTATTAGAGAATGTGCTTCGTGGTACTTATGTTACTTTGGTATTAATTCCGTGACGTAGAGAATGACGAATTTTAACGACTTTATTTGGCAGAGTGAAGGAAGCAAAGCTAAATTTCTGAAATGAAAATAATCTTCTCTACCACTGTATTTTTTTTTTTGGAAAGCTAATTTCAAATATCATAATTGTCAAATCACGTTTGACAGGTCAATATCAGGCAGAATAGTAGGCAGCGTGTGGTGGTTCTTCACGCTGATCCTGATCTCCTCTTACACCGCCAATTTAGCCGCGTTTCTAACCGTGGAAAGAATGGTGGCACCGATTAATTCACCGGAAGACTTGGCCTCGCAAACGGAAGTACAATACGGCACGCTATCTCACGGATCCACTTGGGACTTTTTTCGTGTGAGTACACGTCGTGAAAGGTATTAGTAAAAATAGATTCGTCGAAATTTCCATAAAAACGCCACCTTTGTCTCTCCCCTTTGCAGAAATCGCAGATCAATCTCTACAGCAAAATGTGGGAGTTCATGAACTCGAGGAAACACGTGTTCGTGAAAACGTACGATGAGGGAATACGAAGGGTGAGGACGAGTAAAGGGAAGTACGCCCTTCTGATCGAGAGCCCGAAGAACGAGTATATTAACGAGAGGGAGCCTTGCGACACGATGAAAGTCGGGAGGAACCTCGACGCTAAAGGTTTCGGCATCGCGACGCCACTCGGCTCTCCCCTTAGGTAAACCTCGCGTATTTACTTTTAATCCTTTTTCACTTTGTGTTTCCGCTCGTACGATACTTCGCCGTTGTCGTCCCTGGAAGCTAGAATTATCATTCTTCGATCTTGAAACGCAGGTATAATTCTTTGCGATGTACGTCGGAGATTGAAGTTTTCTTCTATACTTTGGTAACAATAACAGACGAATATAAATTTAGCTACAATTTTTCCGGTGCAATTATTCGACCGTCGAAATAACTCTTTTGTATCGGGAACGAGGAAATTCCGATCGCGTTTAAAATTCCTCCGCGAAGGTGAAAAATATATAACTTGGAGGCTGGAAGTACTCCTAAAATTCACAAGTATCGTCGTATTTAAAACAAAAAACCCCTCCTCGACCATTAGCCAACGACAAAAGCCTCGCTTCCACGCTGACAATCGTGGATAACGCAAACGAACGAAATTTAAAAAGCACCGCGTGCTCGACGTTAATGCGAGGAGTTTCGAGCTTTCGATAATTCTCGACGGGGACACAAAGCCACTCTCCCGGTGGAACATTAGAGTAAGCGTAACACACGGATCGAATGGAAGCACAGGTTCGACCTATTTCTTTCATACGAACGCGTAATTAACGAGGTTTTGTAGCGATCAAGAAGAGGCGAAGCCCCCTTCGTCGTCATATCGTGGTAGCTCTTTGAAATTCCGCAGCTTCGGGTCTGTCCCCCTTTTTCTTCTCTCTCTCTCTCTCTCTCTTTTTCGAAAGCACACCACGTTGTTACACACAATTAGCATAGAGAAACTCGTGCACCCATTTTTCCGTATCATTACCGCTTAAGGGACGACTCGACCCACTCTCTCTCTCTCTGTCTCTCCTCGTCTCGACTACCAATTCAATCTCTCTCGTTCAACCGTCCACCCGCCCTCTTCGCCGCTTTATTCGTTGGTACAGCATTCAATTTGTAATTCAACGGATACACGCACATCGATTTTATTACATTTGTTCGTGACACAATCGACTTCTACCCCCTGTGGTTACGGAATATCTTCTTCGCCCTTTTCTTTCTTAACCCTCCGGTCGCTGAATGAACTTTCGCGAATCGTCGTGTGTTGAATATTGGATATCGTTCGAGAAATTGCTTAGCTAATGTTTGTCTCTTTGCTCTTTCTCTGTGAATGAATTTCTGTGAATAGATATCGTTGGATAAATTATATTTTGCGAATTTTGTTTTCTGTTGTGGGGGTGTGATTTAAGTGGTGAATTAAGTTTCGGTAGGAATAGGTACGGTTTTAATTCTAGTCTACAAAGATGACTCTATCGTTTTTATTTTTACTTTTCTCTTGTTTCACAGCCTTTTAAACACAATCATTCTGTCAAAGATTTGGATATGCGTTCACATACTCTTGCCACGTGCCGATTTTCGTTCATGGCATTCTCATTCAGCAGAACTGTCACTCGATACAACTGTCACACTCTTATTTCCCTTTTTATCCCTTTTCTTGCGAATTTTCAGCGATTCCTCGTCAACGTTCGCGACGTTACAGAGACCCGATAAATCTTGTGGCCTAAACACTCTGATTTTCGATCATGGCATCGATCTTATCTCGCGTGTATTCTCATTCAGAAGAACTGTCACACGAACCAAACACTCTTTTCTCTCACCTCGCACTATTTTCATTTTCACCCCTTTTCTTGCGAATTTTCAGCGATTTCTCGTCAACGTCCGCGACGTTACAGAGATCCCATAAATCTAGCGGCCC